ATTTCCACTCTCAGGAGGTGATCTCTAACTTAGACCCTTTGCTGATAGGCACCGGGTGGTCTCCCTTGTTGAGATGTTAACAATGCTTCAGTGTTCCTCGCTCTTACTTACCTTTGGGCATCTGTATAAGTGTCTCTACAGAATAATTTCTAGATGTGAAAATGTTGGGCTAACAGTATGCAATGAAGCCTTCAAAAATGATTGTTAGATGGGTGACATCAAAATACGGAAATATGTAGGGAGTGTTACATTTTCAGTGTACTTTTTCTCTGTTGTTCAGATTGGGTAATTTCTGTAGATCAATCTTCTGGTTCAGTGATTGTTTCCTCTGTCACCTCCATTTGGCCATAGAGCCTGTCCTCTGAACTTTTAATTTTATTTACTGAATTTTTCGATTCTAAAATTTCTGTCTGGTCCTTGTTTACATCTTCTATTTCCTTGCTGAGGCTTTCCATTTTTTCATTTGTTTCCAGCTCTTCATAATTGCTCATTGAAGCTTTTTTTTTTTTTTTTTTTAAGTCACAGCTCCTTTTAAAAATCTTTGCTTGGTAATTCTAACATCTTTGTCATCTCCTTTTTTCCCCATGCTCACCCAAGGACATGTTTTCATTGCTTTTAGAGAAAGAAGAAGGAGGGGGCAGGGAGAGAGAGCGCGCGACAGAGAAAGAAAGAGAGAGAAACATGATGTGAGAGAGAAACATCAGTGGGTTGCCCTCTCATATGTGTCCCAGTTGACCAGGGATCAAACCTGCAACCTGGTTATACACCCTGGCCAGGAATCGAACCCACAACCTTCCAGTATACGGGACAACTCTCCAACCAACTGAGCTACAAGAGCCATGGCTAACATCTTTGTCATCTTGATGTTGACATCTGTCGATTACTTTTTTTCATTGTAATACAAGTGATTTTCAGTTGAAATCTGGACATTTTTATATTCTAAGAGTCTGGGTCTTGTTAAACCTTCTGTTTAAATGTCTCTGACACCACTCTAGAGGGGCTTGGGAGGAGAGGAGTATAGTGACCCCACCTTGTTACAGAGAGGGGGAGATTAAAGTCCAGATGCCCCACCTGGCCTCCGCTGATGCCACAGGTGTGAAGGCTCCTCAGTACTGCTGGGTTCCAGCTTTGTGTGTGGCTTCCACTGACACTCTGGTTGAGGAGGTCTCATTGCCTCTGACTGCTGTCTCCTAGACCTCTGACCCCAACCCTAACAGCGAGGAGGAGGGGTTCCTTGTTCCTGGCTGGCAGGGCTGAAAGCCGGAGCTGCCTCCTTGGCCTTCTCTGGCACTGTCTTGGTGGGGAGCACTACAGCCTCCAGTGGGTTGATTACATTAAATTGGGATTAAAATATAGAAGTTGTAAAAAAAAATATATGTATAGTGATCACATTTTTAAAATAAAAAATATAATATGTACATAGAAAAAAATCTAGATAAATAAACTGTTGAATGGTTCAAGGGTAGGGAAACTGACTTGTAGTATTTCAGTGTTTGTTTTTAAAATAATGAGTGTTTATTGCTGTTAGAAGCAGTATAAAGCAGAAAATTTTTAAAGGGATACTTTTCTTAGGTGCTGATGTTAGGTATACCGATGTGTTAATTTCATTGTTGTTATTAACAAAAAATTGGGTGTAGAATAAAAGTATCCTGATTTCTAGTGTAATGCTTCACATTATACCACAATATCCAGTTTATTGTAACAATAGGTTTTAGTCAATGTAGTTCATACTGAAGAGAGTAACGTTTACCCTTTAACTTGAAAGAGATTTTACTGAAATGTTGAAATGGAATTTTAGTAGTACAATGTGAATTAAAGCAGGAAGTTTTTGATACGTGACTTCTGGAAATCCAAAGTTTCTAGCTCCACTGTACTTTACAAAAACATTATCTGTCTGGTAGCTCTCAATTTTCTAATGCTGTTAAAACTTTGGAAAAACTTGTACGTCCACATGTACTTGAGTTTTCATGAATTTTGGGAGTAGTTAATGAGGCAGTATTTCAGTTCTGTCTTGAAGAGTATGCATGCTTTTATTTTTTAGTACATAGAACAAAGTAGTTTATACGGAAAGTGAGATGTAATGGCTTATGATTGATAAACCTGGAAGAGAATTGATAAACTTTTCTAGAAGATTAAAGACAAAGGAGATGAAAGCAAAGAAGCATTTGTGTTCCTGGCTGCCCAGGTCTTCACAAGCAGAGGATGTCCTGAGACCTTGCGCCCGACTCTGCAGTGCGGTCTGCAGACCGTCATGGGACATTATGGTGTGGTGTGTCTCATCTCTGGCCAGCTGCTTTTTATTACGTGTTTTCCAGTGCCTACATGTAACATCTTTATTACATCTTTGCCAATGTAATTCTTTTAACTGTGCTGTGACAGGCAGTTTGGCAATAGTTAATTTTACAGATTAAATAAATGGTAAAGGATGAACACTTTGAGTCAGACTTGTTCTTTGTCTACTAACTTGGTATCCTTTTTCTTGTATTTATGCTTCTGTTGTAAGCATCTTAAAACTGGGAGGAAACAAAAGCAAAACAATGATGATAAAATCCGGGTCTCTAAAGCCACAACCTTGTGTGAAAATATTAATCATCAAGCTATATAGAAAGGTAACGTGTTAACTTTTTCTGATCTGTAATGAGCTCACTCGTGTGTTACCAGTTCCATGTGTGTTTGGATGGTGAGCATCTTCAAAAAAGCAACTCTGAGTATCAGTTTGTTATATATTGTAGGACGGCTTAGTCCTGAGAACTGCCTTGTGCTCAGAGGAGTATCATCCTAGCCTTCCCACACTGGTGGTTCTCGATGTGTCCAGCAGATGCCTAACTTTGTGATTTCCTTGGGTGCCTCTAACAAAATGAGGATTCCTGGGCCTTACTCACCCAGGAATTCTTCTGAATCAGGCTCTCTGGATGTAAGTCCTAGGAATTTTCATTTTAAATGGTTACTTCAGGTTATTCTTACTCACCCTAAACTTGCAGGGATGTCCAACCTTTTGGCATCTCTGGGCCACACTGGAAGAAGAAAAGTTGTCTTGGGCCCCACATTAAATACACAAACACTAAGGAAAACTGATGAGCAAAAAAAAAAAGGTTTTAAGGAAATTTATCGTAGTTTGTTGAGCCGCATTCATAGCCATCCTGGGCCACATGCAGCCCGCGAGCCATGGGTTGGATGCCCCTGCAAATATAAGAACTAGAACTTTTTTAGAAAGTAAATTTTGTATAAGTTGAAGTATTAGAAATTAATAGGATTCATTCTGGTGATTGTTCTATGTGTGTTTTGTTTCTGATAAAGAATGATCATTTTTTTCCCCCCTTAAGCTCAGTTGTAACTATTGCATGCTGTCTGGTTAGTAGGGTTCTGGAATCCTTATACGTGTGTTTTGCTGGTTATATTATGTGTAATCAGGCAACTTTTTATTTTTTACCCACCCCCTATTGCATCATTAGTTAGGAATTAATGACTTAACTGGGTATAGCATTTTACTGAAATGGCTTCTGTGTTTTTTGAGAGTTACTTTAGGATAATAAACAGTACTTTTACCAGCATCTTTGAATGGCTTGGCAGAAGTTATTTCTGGCTTTCTTCATAGACTTCATGGTGAAGAGGGCTGGAGGGCTGGGTCGGTCCCTAGCAAGTGTCAGAGTGTTCTTTTCCAGCGGCTGGCTACCCCAACCCCCATATCCCTTCCCCTTCCCCCTCCTTTTTAAACTCGGGGGCATACATGATGGAATTGAAGATTTGTTCCACTCTGATTTTTAGGAAAATTCTACCTCATTGTTAAACTTGGGGAAGTCAACTGTTGCATTCATTAAGTGGATTACAAATAGCTTACTATAAAGCTATGTTATTTTCCTTCCTCCCTGCAGGAATATGTAAAATATATTTAAAATGAGTCTTTTTTAGAATTGGGGGAGGCTGGCAACTATTTTAACCCTTTGGAGAGAAGCACATCTACAAGTTCCCTTTTTTATGTCACCCTATAAAGAATATTATCTCGCCCTGGCTGGTGTGGCTCAGTGGATTGAGTGCTGGCCTGTGGATTGAAAAGTTGCTGGTTCGATTCCCAGTCAGGGCCCATGCCTGGGTTGCAGGCCAGGTCCCCAGTTCGGGGCATGAAAGAGGCAACCAGTTGCTGTTTCTCTTCCACATTATGTTTCTCTCCCTCTTTTTCTCCCTCCTTTCCCCTCTCTCTGAAATTAAATAAATAAATAAATATTTTTTTAAAAAAGAATATTATCTCATAGAACAATAAATGATTTGCATTTTATAAAACCTATGATTGACTTTGTCTTTGCCCTAGGGCAAGGATATAGGTATCCACTAAGGACTGATTAGACTTCTGCTTTCCTATATGATGGCTGTTAGCCACATGTGGCTATTTAAATTTGAATTCATTGAAAGTGAATAAAATTTTAAAAATTTAGTTACGTTGAACTAGCCACACTTAAGTACTCTTTAGCCATACGCCACAAATGATTACCATATTAGATAGTGATAATATAGATAATTTCTATCATTGCAGAAACTTCTCTTGGACATTGCTATACTAGACTGGACACTTTTATTTTTATTATTTATAATCCTCACCTGAGGATGTGTTTATTGATTAGAGAGAGAGGGGAAGGGGAAAGAGTGAGAGAGGGGGAGAAAAACATCGATGTCAGAGAAAAACATCAATCGGTTGTCTCCTATACATTCTCTCACAGAGAATTGAACTTGCAGCCTAGGTATATGCCCTGACTGGGAATCGAACCTGCAGCCTTTAATGTATGGGATGACGCTTCAACCAACTGAGCAACTCAGCTAGGGCTAGACTGTCCATCTTTAAAAAGAGAATGAGGCAAATGAAAGCAAAATAATAAAGACCCGAATTTTCACCCTCCCTTCCACAGTGCAACTTTTTCTGTCGTCTTGTATCCTTGTTTAAAATTCAGAAAAAGGTCTATTATTTTGAGTACCACTTTGACCTTGTTTTTTGTTTATTTGTTTCCCAGGCTGGCAGTGATGGTGAAAGCATAGGAAACTGCCCCTTTTCCCAGAGGCTCTTCATGATTCTTTGGCTCAAAGGAGTTGTATTTAGTGTCACAACTGTTGACCTGAAAAGGTAAGAGTTGGTTGCATTTTAGAGTCAACTTAAGTTGAGTATTTACCTTACTGTTTTCAGTTCGATCCTCTCCCCTTTCTTCACTTTGCTTGCCCATGTTCTCTAAAGAAAATATATTGTAAAGTTCAACGGAGTATGGACAACTTGACCTTGTGTTAAGTACTATGCTAACTCACAATGTCAGTAAATTGCATGTAGCCATACAGTCTTTTTAGCAACTTATTGTATGTTTACCTTAAATTTCAAGAGCAGCACCAGGAGCTTTAGTGTGGATGCACATGACTTTCCAGTGTAAACATGGGCGTATGAAGGACTTTCTAAGCAGGTATCTTGGTCTCAAGTTTGCTAAACATACGGCCTATGTAATCTGGATCCTTAAAGACAAGGATGGGGTTTTCAGAGGACAAATACTGCTTGGTCTATTTTATTTAATCAACTTTTCAAGAAATAAAATAGGAATTTTTTAATAATACAGTTTTAACCATGTTTGGTTAAGTACAATTGTAAAATAAAAGCAATTACCCATGGCTGTGATTGTTCTTGCTAGTTGAAAAGTTGTTCCTATCTTTCTTGCCATGGACCATAGTGGAAAAGGTTGAGAAGAACCCTGATAAGTAGTAAGCTCTTCTTACTCAGGAGCTTCTCTTCCCCCCAAGGTGAAGAGCATTCATACTTGAACAAAGAAAAGATTTAAATCAAGGGTTAAAAACAGTTTTACCAACAGAAAATCTGCAGTGGATTCAGCAGTGGAAATGGATTCCTCTTGACAAAAGTCCCACAACAAAGCTTGCTGCCTGTGTTTTAAGCATATCAGTCATGGACAATATTCAAGGAAAAAAAATGTTCACTTGATGGATGGCACAATTTATGTATGTTATCCCTCTGGGCATCACGGAGTGCAAGTCACATGAGAGCTGTAATCTTACTCCCTGTTCTCGGTTAGTGTTCCCTGGGACCTCTGTCGGTTCCTTGCAATTCATTTTTTACTTACTGCTAGGGCACTTATTTGAAATTTTACAGACTTAGAATTTATTTAATGAAAGTAAGCCATGAAGTCTTCCAGGAATCCCATATACATTAGTCATGTATATGAATGCAGAGGTAAGCCTTTGGGGACAGTAAGAGTTAAAACTACAGGCTCTCTCGAAGACATACCCAGCTCACATCAGACGCAGCTATTATAAGAATGAAACAATTCCTGTAGTTACTCTTCGATTACTGTTTTTTCCCCTACATGCATTCACCCAGAAAGTTCCCCACTATAACTCCTAAAAATAGCCTGCGCCGCCAGGCACACACCCTTGCTGTGTCTTAAAATACATGCTTTCTCCTATTCCATTTTTGGGTTGGAGCAAGTGAGTTGACTGCCATGCTTCCAAAAATTCTTTGAACAGCTCCATACAGTGCTCGATTGTGGAACATACCAGTAATGGTGCCATAAACGATGCTCGTCTGGGTCAGAAAAGGAAGTTAACACAAAATGGCTCTTTTAAAAATCAGCCGTTTCACTTTGGCAAACTTTTGAGGGCATTCTTCCTGTAAGTTGATATTGGAGCGTTTGTATATGTTTAAGAGTAATGTACCCGACCTGTCAAAAGTGACACACGGGAAGTATTGCACAGTGAAAGATTCAGAGCCTCCTACTAGAGAGCACCCCCTCTCAAAGGCAATGTGTGTCTGTCTCCTAGGGCCTTGTATAAAATCAGCAGAGAACACTCATACGGGAGCCTATATTTTGTAGTTTTCTTTAGAAATCTTCAGTCTACACATACTTAAAAGTGATTCTGAAGGACAGTTAAAAGTGCACAGGCGGCACCTGAGAGTGGTCGTGAGTCCCACCCACCCCCGTCAGCAGCTTCCTTTTCACAGCTGTCGTTGCACTTAGGTTTGGCCTTTACCCTTCCAATCTTTTTTCAATGAGTCAGTCTGTAGTTAAGAGTTCAAAGAGGAAGTCAGTGAACATTGGCTCAGAACGCCAGTGTAAAATAAAGTCATCACAGAGGAATAAAACATCCTGTAGTGAAGAGTACCTTTCACAATATATTCTTAACTTTAAAACTTTAAATGTGACTGTTTTTAGAAAGCTGTGGGGGAGAAAATGCCTATAGTGTTTATTTTCCTGCTTTTCCAGATGATTGCTTAACTCCTCAGTGAAAAGTACTGATCCCAGAAGAAACCGGTGGTGAGCAATAGAACTCTCCTGAGAGCTATTTAGAAGCTCACTGTGTGCCCTGAAAAAATTATTGTTACATGACATTTCATCCGTAAAAAACAAGCCCGTTCTGGCACTGGTGTGACACGTTCTCTTTGACTGGCAATTACGGTGTGACACCGTTCTCTTTGACTCGCAATTGGCGTTAACGACTGTGCTGGTGGAGTTCATGTGCCCCTGTGGAACTTGGAACAATCTCCCTTTGCTTGCCTGCCAGTGTTGCTTAATGCTTTAGGGGAGTCATTTCTAAACCTAATTTTCTGTTCATGCTACAACTGCATTATAGGGCTTGTAGATTTAAAAAATGCTTAGGCTTCAAAAGAATTTGGGTTTTATATCAGCGATCACCATTTGAACAAAAGCTTCACCAAAATGGAAGTGAGAAATATTAAAATTTGGGGCACTATTTAAAGATGTTGTCACACGTCATCAAAGGGGAGCAACCATGCATAGGAGAAAGTATGAGCGGTAGAGGCCTGGCTCTGTTTGGAGAGAACCCTGGGATCTTGGGCAAGCTGCCTCTTCTGGGAGGTCAGTTAGCTCATTTTTAAATCAGGAAAAAGGAAGGGGAAAATGAGCTAACATTTCTTCAGTGTCTATTATGTGTAAATACTGTTCAGGGTACTTTTTGCTACTCTTATCAAATCACTTCAGACCTGTTACTTGAATAGAACTTTTTTTTTTTTTTTTAATCACATTGGTATTATAGGGCCTTTCTGGCTGACAGGTTGCTGGCAGTGATCAAGATCTTTATTTGAAGATTTTCAGTCTTCATTATGCCCCGAAGTTCCTAAGTCAGATCAGCATCTTTAGAGCAGAGATAAGCCTGAGAGGTAGACAAGGAAGAGAAAGAAGTGTAAGAACAGGGAGAGGGAGAGAAAGAGAAATAGAAAGAGAAAGAAAGAGGAATTGAAACACTGACTTGGATGTAGCTGAGTGTGGCCATATTTTGTCACATACTTGCTGGGATAAACTTCTGGTTTTGAGAAATGAGAGTAGAAATGATAACTTTAAGAAATAACTTTTTATTGAAAGCAGTGATATCTGCTGTATCACCAGTGAATAAAATCCGCCGCTCCCCATGGTATTCTCAGAGAGAAAAAAATAAATTGGAGATCGCTTTTTTGAAGTCTGGGAAATGTATGTTTCCATTTTCTCATTCCTACCTTAAACTCTGAAACTACTTCCTCCTCCGCACCATCACAGCTGATTTTTTCCTGCTTCAAATGTCAACCATACCCATTGTAGCATATTGTGTGAGTCAGACCCACACAATATGTAAGCAGCCATAATAATGGCATAAAGTGTTAGATGATGATGGTAGTTTATCCTTTAACAATTCTGTAATAGTTTAAGATGTTACAATAAAATGGTAAAAACTGATAGTTTGGCATATCTTAAAGGCAGCTTTAAACTCAGAACAAAAATCTGATTTCCAAAGAGATTCTTCAGAGAGGTTGCTTTCATGATCATGTCTGTGTGGTCCCACCCTTCTGCAAACAGCCTTCAGCATGTAGGGAGGCCAGCGATTTCCAGGTGGGTCTTCAGAAACAGCAGTGTGACTGAGACAGACAGGGGAACAAGTGGGATGGAGCAGGCCAGCCTTTTAGGGAGACCATCCATTTTCTGCTGCTGGCCAGTCAGCAAAGTATAATACAAACTGCATTCTCCCCTTGTAAATTTGACTTGAGTTACACGAAGCCCTATTAGAACAGTCCTAACAATTCAAGATTTATGTCTTGCAAATGTATTCTGAATCCTGTGTATATTCCACACCCAGGTGTATGTGCGTGTGTGTGCGTGTGTGTGTGTGTGTGTGTGTGTGTGTGTGTGAGAGAGAGAGAGAGAGAGAGAGAGAGAGGAACACATAGAGATAGACACATACAGTTAGAGGGAGAACTTTGCTGTCACATGTCTTTATGTTCTTTCTCAAGATAATTTTGAAATTAAATATTAGTAAATATTTTTAAACCTGTTATTAGTATTAACTGTACTTATAAACTGTGTTAGTAAAATCTGTTAAGAATTACAGAAGCTGTATTTGAAACCTGCATGGGTGCTCTTTTGTTTTAAAAACAATTGCTCCACAAATTGACCTTAAAGTAGACAGAGATTAGCAGTAGACCACATTGAATCAAAATAAATAAAATCCTTTAACTGGTTGAACGGGTACAAATAAACAAATGCTTAGTAGCTAGGATCTGGTATGTGCTTTGGTGAGTCCACAATCCACTGATTCACTTAGTGACTTTAGTATTAGAATATAGCAAATCTAATGAAGAATAATGAACAGGAATAAGTTGAAACAAATAAAGGACTTGTGGTGTTACCTTTTATTATTATTTTTTACTTATTTGCTTTATAGTATCCAATACTCTCTTGATTTGTGTAAACTAACTTTAGGCTTTAAAAATCAAGATCTTCAAAAGGGAAGTGGAACTTTTATATACTTAGTATTCTTTTCCTCCACCTAGTGAGCCAGCTAGTTACAGGCAGGTCATCTTAAGAATCAGTCTCAGTGTGCCTGGCTATCTGTGCTCCTCTTACAGGAAGCAGCTGGAACTGAGCCACCAGCCCGACATCATCCAATTGTTGCAAGTGCACCAAATTAAATTTTAATCTAAGTTAAGCCACTTACGTTACTTAAAGTATTAGCTCCTAGAAGGTTCCTCCTTTTCATTTCTTTCTTTCCCTCTGTTTATTGTTAGTTTCCCTTTATTTCCTTATCTTCATCTGGGAACAAAGTGGAAGAGGATAGAATGTATTTTTCATCTAAAAAGCTACTTTAAAGAAAAAAACTACTTTGATAAGTAATATTAAAAATAAAAAACCCCAAAACATTGAAGTACCTGTTACCTCAAGGCATGAATTCTGTGTACTTCGCTTTTTCTAGATATCTGTCACTCAGGGAAACATTTGAATGGGTTTGATTGAATTGTTGAGTATTTATTGAAGTCCTTGCATGGTTTAAACCTAAGATGTCCTAAACTGTTTAGCCATTCAGCTCATTTTCATTTATCTCACACTGAGTTCCTGAAATGTTAAGTTTGTGTAAACCATCTGTAAAATGAGCCTTTGTGGGTCAGACAAAACACCTGAGTCCTCAGTGCCAGGTGAGAACTAGAAGTTGGAGAATCTTGGCCTCTGTCGGCCTGATGACTTGATATAGCCTTGGAGTCACCTCAGTGTTTACCACTTGTCCATTTATTTGAGGTCTGCTAATCCATTTAGAGTCATTAAAATTTCTCCTCAAACCTATTTTCGCTTGGAATAAGGAAGTAACATGGTTGTCCTTCATCTTGACAGTTAATTCTGGAAAATAGTTTCATCACTTTGGTTTTTTAAAAATCTATGTAGCCTTTCAGCAGAAACAAGATGGACTGTTCACTAGTCACTAACATGAATGGAAAATTGGTAACTATATACTTGGTTTCACTTCACTTACATGCCTCTGTATTAATCAGATCTCTTATTACCAAACAGTTAACGCTAAGTAATCAGTTTTGAACCACCAGGCTCAAACCGAGTTTAAAATTGCCCATCTTCTCTCCTGTAAAATGCTTTCTTAATGTGATACTGAAAGCAATAATGACTTTCATTTGCATACTTTGGTTTAGTTCATGCATTATTTCCCATGCATTATTTGATTTGTTCTTTGCAGCAAACCAGGTCTTAGATCCATACTACAGATGAGGAAGTCCAGATCCAAAGAGGCTGTGATTGACTTAGTCATGTGGCTGGAATGGCAGAACTATTCAATTTGAGATTTTAATCAGGTTTTTTAAAAAAATTCAGTCTTTGGCTTTTTTTTTCTCCTCTGCCATGCTAACTTTATTTGTCCACTAATAAATATTTTTATTTGGCCAGCTTAAAAGCTGTCATAATAATTTGTTTTAGAAGTAATAGATGCTCTGGCTGGTGTGGCTCAGTGGATTCCGTGCCAGCCTGTGAACTGACAGGTCGCTGGTTCAATTCCCAGTCAGGGCACATGCCTCGGTTTCAGGCCAGGTCCCCAGTTGGGGGCGTGTGAGAGGCAACCAATCGATGTTTCTCTCCCTCTCTTCTTTCCCCTCTCTAAAAATAAATAAATAATTTTTTTTTTAAAGAATGCATGTGCTGTGTTTAATGTTCAAAACACTGTATGTGTCACTTATGTAATAAGCAGTATTATGTACATATATCACAGTAAACCCCCAACACAAAAGGATAATTGATTTATATAAAAGAAATAAGAAGTAATAGCTGTTATTTATTTTGCTGCCCTCGCCCCATGGGTTATTTTAAAGCATTGATCCCTTTTTTTTTTTTTTTTAATCCTACTCCCCTTGTTCTTGAAAAAATAATTGTAAAAAACACAGACATATGCTGTTACTTTACATGTAGGCATTTAATAAGGGACCATTTTTTGGCCATAAAATGTTGATGGATATGTTTTATAACTTCAGAATAAGAAGTGTGTTCTAGGTGATCACAATTCGTATATGACAAGATTAAAGAACATGCTCAGTCGTCCCTGGCATCATTCATGGGAGACGTGTGTGTTCTCTTTCTCTTGTGTATTTTATGCAAATTTGATTAAACCTATTTGCTTTGATGAGACACTGTTGTCCTTTTTCTTATCCTTGTGCTACCTTAAAAAAAAAACCAAACTTTAAAATGTTAAGATTTGAAAATAGAGATACAAATCCTAATGGTTAGGGTTTCTGGACTCTTCCTAAAGTTGAGGAGGAAGTAAATTATAAGCGGGAAGAATGTGAGTGAAAATGTGAGTCGGTAACTTGAAAAATAAAGATGACTATGGTCTTGGACATGCTGGACCCTTTAATGATCAAAGAGGAGCAGGTGGTCAGGATGGTGATTGAAAAGGAATAACTAAAAGAAACCAAGGAAATGAAAAGTAGAAAAGGATTAGTTCTAATTTGGAGTTGAGTACTTATAAAAGTTGTTGGAATCTATAGGCGGGCCTATAGACAGATGCACATCTGGAAGACTTCCTTAGGTTTCTTGTATCCCGGCCATTTTGTGCTGACTTTTTTTTTACCTTTACAGACTGAAGAATACTCAGGAAAAGAATTGGAGTTGAAAATCCAATCAGATTTTGATTTTTAAAAGTCCTTTGTGGAGCTTAGGTTCTTGGGAAAGTTCATAGAAAACATGTCTTATTTTTCTTTGCCTTGGGAGGGAGATAGGCTCTAGAATTTGGGCAGAGGGAGGCCCTGAGTTAGAGAGTGTGGACTAATAGAATAATGGATTAAGTCTTTGTATCTTTGATTAGAATGTCATAGAAAGATGAGGCACTTTCTAAACCTAAGCGGAGAGACAGGGATGGGGCGGCAGGGGGAATGAGGAGGAAAAGGAGAAACGGAGAGAATGAAATGAGTAAGACCGGAGGGAATTGATAAGCCGGGCTTGCATAGTTTTTAGGGTGCCCTGTATTTTAAAAATTATTTTTAATGGCAAAGTATTTCACCTTTATGATACCTTTACAGATATCCTTTATTTTATTCAACTGTGCATTTGTGGTAAGGAGAGAAATAAAATATATTTTTAAAAAAGAAAAGCTGAGAGATTTTAAAATATAACTTATTTACTAATTGGTTTAAATAAAATAATTATGAATGCTTTATTTGTTTTTTTAAGTATATTTTGATTATGCTGTTTCAGTTGTCCCAATTTTTTTCTCTTTGTCCCCCTCCACTTGGGACCCCCTTCCCTCCAGCAATCCTCCCTCATTAGTTCATGTCCATGGGTCATGCATGTAAGTTCTTCGGCTTTTCTCTTTCCTATAGTATTCTTAACATCCCCCTGTCTATTTTCTACCTACCAAGTATGCTGCGTCTCCTTTGCTTTTCTTTCTTTTCTCTTTAAGGATTTTTATTTATTTTTAGAGAGGGGAAGAGAGGGAAACATCAATGTGTGATTGCATTTTGCACGGCCCCTGCTGGGGACCTGGCCTGCAACCCAGGCATGTGCCCTGCACTGGGAATCAAACCGGTGACCCTTTGGTTTGCAGGCCAGTGCTCAATCCACTGAGCCACACCGGCCAGGGCCAGTTATGCTTCTTGACCCCCTGCACCATTTCCCCTTTTCTTCCCCTCTCCACTCCCCACTGATAATCTTCCAAATGATCCCCATACCTATGATTCTGTTCCTGTTCTGGTTGTTTGCTTAGTTAGTTTTTGTTTTTTTAGATTCATTTGTTGATAGTTGTAATTTTAATTTCATGGTTTTGATCTTCTTAATGCATTACTTGTTATTGCAAAACATAATTGTAATAGTAAAACTTAAATCAATAATAAAAATTACTATATTTTCTCCCTTCTCAGTTAGAGTAAAAAAAATGATCCAATTTTGACCACTGTATTTTGCCTAACAGGAAGCCTGTAGACCTGCAGAACTTGGCTCCTGGGACCCACCCACCATTCATAACTTTCAACAATGAGGTCAAAACGGATGTAAATAAGATTGAAGAATTTCTGGAAGAAGCTCTGTGCCCTCCCAAGTGAGTATCAAAGAAAATATGCATGGAAATATTGCCATCTCTTTAAAGCTTTGTCTTATCTGCCCCTTAGAGACCTTTCTCCTGATGGTACTTGAGTTAAATTCTCACAGTATCAAGTTGGAATGACTAGAACTTCTCTTCATTTATCGTAATTATCGCTCCACAAATGTCAGAGTCGGCTTCTGGCCAGACCAGGAGCCGTACTGGGGTAGGAATCTGATGAGCGGGAAAGCACACGGTGAACGTAGGATTGGGCGCGTGAGATAGGTCAGGAAAGACTGGTCGTTTGGGGGGTGTAGGTTCCAAATGAGAGGGAAGTGTAGGGAGAAGGGATGGGAAGAGACAAGTTCAGACTGAACTTAGGATGTCTAAGTAGGTGTGGTCGCAGGTTGCCGGGGGGGGGTTTTCTATCAGGTCATTTCATTTATTTTTTAATTATATTTTATTGTTTATGCTATTACAGTTGTCCCGGTTTTCCCTCTTTGCCACCCCCGCCCCGGCACTGCCACTCCCTCAGGCAGGCCCCACACCGTTGCTTGTGTCTGTGGGGCGTGCGCATACATTCTTTGGCTACTCCGTTTCCTATATGCACTTCCCATCCCCATGGCTAGTCTGTAACTACCCGTGTTTGTACTGCTTAATCCTATCAGGTCACTTTAACACTCGGAGGCTGCCACCCAAGGCAGTTGACTTTCCTGACTGTGTCCCTGGGATTCTTTTTCTATTTATGTATTTCTTTGAGCTGTTCTCGAGCCCCGGTCCTACATGGTTAACACTTTTAAAGTACTATAGCCTATCCTGTAAGGTACAGTTGCGGAACAGATGAACTTTCATGACAGTTACCTATATTGCAGATCTGCAGTTTTGCATTGTACTGTAATCTTGGCACAGGTTTAAAGCATTACTGATTTCTTTTAGAATTTTCCAATTTCATCATCCTGAAAACTGACATTTTTTTTCCTTCTGACCCAAGCCTTTCTTGCTAGTTAACGTCACTTTATCTTCCATATGCAGGTGAATTTCCCAGGAGTGGGATTATTGGGTCAGAGTGTTCTAAAATAATTAATTACTCACTGATTCACTTACATGCATTCGGCAAGCAGTTACTGGGCAACAGAGGCTCGTGGACGCAATAGTGAGTGAGACGCACTTCCCGCAGCACCGTCCAGTATGGATGGCGGTGGCGGCGGCCGTGTGGGGAAGCGAGTGGAACTGGGAAAGGCTTTAGAGCAGAGATGGTACTTGAATTAAACTTTAATTAAAAAAAAAAACAAAAACAGTGGCATTCGGCAGGTGAGTGAAGGAGTGACAGTTATTCTGGGCCTAAGAATCATTTTGAATCAGCAGTGTGTCTTCTGGGGACCTGAAGGTATGCCTGGAGGTGCACCTCTGTCTGCAAGTGGCCCATCTTTGATTGTGAACAGAATTGCCCTGTCTTTAGCAATCTTGTACTAAGCTTAAAATTTCATTTTCTTGATCCTGTGTTATAAAAGCTTATCCCCTGTCTTCCTTCCTGTCTTTCAAGGAGCCTTAAACTTCTTTTCTCTCTCCATACCCAGAGCCCAAACCTTCCTTCCATCTCCAGTCAAGTTTCTTCAGACCAGCATTAACAGAGCTAGACCTGGACTTTTCTTCCAGGCCTTGCCTATACGTCGAATAACAATAAATCAGAACTGGGATCTTTGTAAACTGAAGGTTTATACACATCAGTGAGGAACTGTTATGAATATTTATTCAACTTAGTAGCAATAACTTTTGAAAGATTTCATCATGAACCTACTAGATCCCTTTTTATTCTTAAAAGTCTGTCAGCTCCAAAGAAAAGTTCCACATTTGTCAACTTGTCCTCAGGCAGTAAGGAGAGTGATATTCCCTTCATGTAACTGTAGATCATTGGATGGACATTAAATTATAAACAGAGTAACAGTTTGAATGACTTGCCAGTGTCTATGAAGAAAACTGTATTTTGTTTTAAAGCATTGTCTGAAGTGTTTAATGTGTAAATTCTTTCAAGGTATTTAAGTTTTTGAAATCAGTGTGCTGATAACATTATATACCATTTCTGTCAAATGGACATTTTCTCATATTCTCTTCTAGCCTTCTTCGACAACAGAAATAATTTTTATTATTCTTCCTTGTTGTTTTTGTCAGAGGGACTAGACATCATGATAAATAGAGCTAATGTCAACATACTCTGGTTTCTTGATGTCCAATTTTCTGTAAGACATGATTCAAAAAGACAAGCTTTTTGAATTGGACTTTGAAAATAGACATTTTCAGTTTGCTTTTTGTCTATAGAAATTTCAGCCCCATTTTGTTTGGGCATATTCATAGAGGTACTTTAACCAGAGATGGTCTTTTCTTTCAGTTTAAATAATTCAAAACTTGGAGATCTTTCTGATATAAAGGATTCACAGTGTGCTAAATTCTAAGAGTAATTTCTTTGTTTTTATGTTGTAAATTATAATCTAATGAGAGCTTCTAAATAATTTTATAATTCATTAATTCAGAAGGGAGTATTTTTGATGTTGCTAAGACCTCTGCTGTTAGTAGCATTTAAGTGCTAATTATGTGCCCTGTTCTGTGCATTGCGGATTATTTTGTGGATCCTCTCAATCCTCTCAAAGGCTGTGAAGAAACTGAAGATGAGTAATCCAAATAATTTGTCCGGGATTAATGCTGGCAGAGCCGGCACACTCGGGTCTATGCGACTTCAAAAACCTATGTTTCTCCTATTGTCTTCTTTCTGTGTCTCATTTCGTTGAGTCTGACTTTTATAAAAGAGGTAAAATGTGTCTTTAATTGGGATTGTGCTTTAGAGCAGCGGTGCCTGACCTTTTGGGCACCAACCAGGGACTGGTTTCGTGGACGACTTTTCCACGGACTGACGGGGCGGGCAGCGGACAGGAGGCAGAGCTCAGCCACTCACCTCCTGCCAGGCCCTAACAGGCCCTGGACTGGTACTGGCTGGGGGTTTGGGGACCCCCGCTCTAGAGATTGCTAAGGTGAAGGCTAGCTCAAGCGTAGAAGAAGGGTAGAAGAGAAATCCGAGAGAATTTACTTCACTTGATGAGCAAGTTGGGCTGACGGCGGTTGTCAAACTAAATTTAGTAAATCCTTTTTAAAAAGTAGGTGAGGTTTAGCGATGATGAGCTTTTACTTATATGCACTGCAGCAGCACGTTTGGATTGGGTGTGTCTTTCTCATTGGGCTCAGCAGCCGCAATGTGAAATGCTCCTCAAAAGGCGGCGTCTCTGTCCTGCAGAGATGTATCTAGAAGGGGAGCGGGAGGGAGAAACGTGCCTGGGACTGTCACCCGCATCCCTTTCCCTTTCCTTTATTGTTCTCTGGCCTTCAGGGACCGCTCTGGCCCACTGTCCTTTCTCTCTAGGGCAAGAAGACCTTCAGGTCCTGAACCGCTGTCGATCTCCCTCACACTCACATCGCAAGCCTTATGGTCTCCAGATAGGATGAGGGGGAAAGGCAGAATGTTGTACAAGAATGCAGCATGTCTAATAACATGTTTTTGGCATTTGATGATCCTGAGAACAGAGTGTTTTTATGTGAGCACTTTTGATTTAATCATGACAAGTATAAATATAGGCAACTGTCTGTCCCAGAGTTGTTTTGAATTTAGAGACTAACGAAAAGCTTAAATCAAGCAACTCTAGATGGTTAATGTAACTACAGGTTTTAAGAAGAAACTTTCTCTTTCTTCTTCTTTGGGGAAAATATTTATGGGTTTTTCTTTTGTTTTTGTTTTTTAGTTCCCCTCGCTTGAAAGAAGGGACTACTTTGCCTTCTCCACCCCCACCCCCACCAAAAAAAAAAAGCTTTCAAAAAAGCTTTGAAACTTGGATTTCTAACTGAAGCAGGCCTATATACATGGCTAATTACTAATAAAAGGATAGCAGGATACAGAAAGCTAGATAATTTTGGAGAAGAGTTCTCTGAAGTGTTATTAAGCCTTTTTTAAAAATGAGAAATATTGGCAATGAAAATTGAATTTACAAGGATAACTTAATATGCTATATTATGTTAGCACGAGGAAGGAAAGATGTCTGAGATCTTTCCTAAAAGGATAGAAATAATTATTAGCTAGTCTGCTGTTAACAGTCTGTGATGTCATAGCGGATAAAGGACTAATCTGAAAGTCTCAATACCCTGGTGCTCACGTCCTGTCATTTGCACATAGTCTTTTATTAATTATTTACCTTTCTCTTGTTAAACATTAAAATGAATATTCACAATAATTGAAAATTATTGCTTTATCAAGCTATCTGCTAAAACTAATAATAATGGATGAATTATTAAAATCCAGTGGTTGGTGGGGGAATGCAAACAAAGTTAACATCTAATTTAGGAACTTGTGCTTTAGAATTTGATTGATATTTTAGAGAGAGACTGATTTGTAAAAAAACAAACAGAAACACCAACCAAACAAAAGAAACACTGCAGCTGGGGACAGAAAATCTGGGTTTTAGTTTGGCAATACTTTTAATTAATCCAGTGACTCTGGGGCCAATATGTGAATTTTCTGAATATAATTTCCTTCTAGGCAAAAGAGAGATTGAGGTGAGTGGCCTCTTGTAGTTACAGTATTATATGCATTAAATTAATAATACAAATGTAATGGTTTGTCCTGGAAGGGAGGAACAGGGTGTGCTTATCCTACTTTTCAGAACAGTGGTTTAGAAAATTTTTAATGACATCTCTTTCCTATAAATAAGGACATGCTGACTTGACAGTCCGTCCTTCTCACCCGGTCGTTAGACTCAGCCTCTAGTACGTGTGCTTTCTGTGCTCAGCATTCCATCCCCGCCACTGAGTGCAACGCCTGACACGTAATAGATAATTAGCAATGAGAATAAAAGAATATATGTATGAATAATGAATGCATAAATGATCTGTAATTCAAGCCTGCTTTCCTGTAAGTTATTTTGAGACTTCCGAAGTTTACCTCGTTAGAAAAAGTTGGTGCAACTAAATATTGGTTGGGGAAAAGGAGACTAATTTTGGAAACTTGGCTAGAGAAAGACATAGATGTATTGAAGAGGCACGTATATTCCTTGCACTATTTTTTGTTGGAATGAATCAATGAAGGTACTGTATTACCAGCGGTGAAAACATTTAAATTGGAGGTTGGGTGTTTTTATAGTCAAGGGAAACCCGGGATGTTGAAACAGGGATTAACTGTTACAGCTCAGGCAGGAAGGAAAAGAGGAGTGTGGGGGTAAACTTTTCTCTAGACAGGAGGGAAAATATGCAAACAGAATCTACATAAACTCAGGTGAAATTCAGGTACTGTAATTGTTAACAGAAAAACTCACTTAAGTAATTTTGTTTATAGGAGACATTTTTAAGCTTAAAAATCGAGAGAGATTAAAAAGATAACTTGAACATAGAGTTGATCAAGATATTTTATATTCTTCTTATCCATATAGTACTATGTCCAGTTTTTAGAAGGTGTAGCTCTTCTTGAATTCAAAACAGTAAAATGTAAAAAAAAAATGATGATAAAAACTAACCTGCATCTTGCAACTGAACTACATTTCTGTCTAAAAATACCTCATCTTCATTTTTCATTTAAAGAAAAGTGGTAAGACAGCACCTTAAAATACATAAATAAATCCTAATTACTAGTTCATAGTAAGATGTTTTTCTGAAGTCTCACTGCCCCAAGCCCATTTCCAGTGAAAGTTGGGAGGGCCTTTTAGCTGATGAACCTTTCCCAAAGTGGTTCTGCGAATCCGAGTCCCTGTAGCCAGCAGTCCCTGGAGCTGGTGCAAAAGGAAGGAATGAAGTGTTAAGCTTCTCTTACATGTATTTTCCAGTCTGAGGAAGAAATATATGGGCATGTGTGTTTGAAACGGAAATATGCAAAGCATGCATTTGTGTGTGTGTTTTTTAAAACGGTTGTGTCACTAATGACTTCTCGAAGGAGGAAAACTTTGTCACAACAAAACAGAGCGCTTGTTAGCAACATTCCTGACATCTCATTTTTCTGTTGCTCGGTGCCACCCTTACAAAATTTAGTATGTGAGAGGTTTCGGTGCCTGAGTATAGGGTGATCTGAAGTGAGTGGTCTGCCTCTTGCCGTTTTTGTCCTGAGCCTACAGTGGGCGCACGAGACGCCCGGGCAGCCTAGACTCTCCCTGCCGCACCGGGCTGGCCCAGGGCGCGGCACACCGAGCGTCGGGTGAGCGTTCCCGTCTGCGAAAGCTCCGCGGCTGCCATGTGGCTAGTGCAACGGAAAAAGTGAAATTTTTTAAAATATATTTTATTGATTATGCTATTACAGTTGTTCCATTTTTTTCTCCCCTTTATTCCCCTCCCCCCTGCACCAACCCTCCCCGAAGCATCCCCCCACCCCCTTAGTTCATGTCCCTGGGTTCTGCATGTAAGTTCTTTGGCTTCTCCATTTCCTATACAATTCTTAACCTCCCCCTGTCTAGTTTGTACCTACTATTTATGCTTCTTATTCCCTGTACCTTTTCCCCATTCTTCCCCCTCCACTTCCCCTCTGATCTCCATTTCTGTGATTTTGTTCCTGTTCTAGTTGTTTGCTTAGTGTTCGGTTCAGTGGTTCATAGCTGTGAGTTTGTTGTCATGAGAAAGTGAATTTTTAACACGATTTAATTGTCATTAATTTAAATTCATATTCCAAGAGCCACTTGTCACTCAGGGGCTACTGTATTGGACAGTTCAGATAGAGAGTATTTCCGTCGTCACAGAAAGTTCTCTGAGTGCTGCTGTAGGGTTCTGGGACGTCCACTGGCCCAGCACAAGTCTCCAAACAAGTAGCAGGTTTCCCCAGCATTTTAGTTTATAAAATGGAGGTGGAGTGCGGATGTCTTTTGGCTGCCAAGAATATTAACATGTGAACAAAAACTGGGCAGAGCTTTGTTTCCGAAGGAAAAAGCACATCTTAAAAATATCATAGAAAACAGATGATGGCATTTTCTAGATTAATAACTGTTAAAAGATGTCTAGTAACTGCTAGCCCAGTGGTTTATTGATTGAGGGAATTTATGCTGATGTATCTTTGGAAGGATCTATAATCCATTTTCACTTTTTCCGCTTAGGTACTTAAAGCTTTCACCAAAACACCCGGAATCGAATACTGCTGGAATGGACATCTTTGCCAAATTCTCTGCATATATTAAGAATTCAAGGCCAGAGGCTAATGAAGGTAAAAAAATAAAATAGGAAGGAAGGAAGGAGGGCAGGAAGGAAGGAGGGTGGGAAGGAAGGAGGGTGGGAAGGAAGGAAAGAAGGAAGGAAAGATTAACACTTTTGATGGGGGGGGGGAGGAGACTCTACCAAAAAACCCTATTATGACATTGATTATAAATGAATTCTTTATAATCTAGATATTCCCATAAGTGTTAAAACCTGGTATTCAGAGTTGATCAGGGATTTGATGATAAACCAGGATAAGTCTTTAAATTGCTGTTTTGGTTTTTTTTGTGATTCCAGTTTGTGGGACAGTACTTAGCAGTATAGTAGGTGTATGATAAAGTGTTTATTGAAAGAATTTATTATGTTCTTCTGAGAAGTTACTGTGAAGGGAGCTATGCAAAGAATTAGTGTTGCATCAAAAACAATGGGTTGATATAGTTTAATTTAAACCATTACTAAAGCTTTTGTTTATTGTTGAGTGCCAGCATTCTAGAATCAGCTTCAGTGGATTTTTGTGCTAATTATGCCTAAAGAGCAATTTTTGGAGTTGCTCTAAGGGAGCCTTTAGACTCAGCCTTCCAAATTTCTCTGCATCCTAAAACTAGGGTTTTAATTTCAAGTCATATTTTCATGGTGAGAATTGTTTAGGTTATATTGGTATGGTTTTCTTCTTTTATTTATTAAAGGACATTCTTATTATTTTATTCACCAAACTTATATGTGGCATATTAGAGGGAAGCCTCTTTGAAAGAAGTCTCATTTAATGAACATTGTCTTAACCAAACCATTCAGTAATTTTCCTTTTTCTTTCCTTTGGGATGTTAAGCATTATTCTCTCTGGAGAAAACTATAGAGAGAGCATGAGTATTTAATTAAGAGTAACAGCCCTGGCCGGTGCGGTTCAATGGACTGAGTTCTGGCCTCAAACCACAAGGTGGCCAGTTGGATTCCCAGTCAGGGCACGTGCCTGGGTGGCAGGCCCGGTCCCCAGTTGGGGGAATTTGATCTCTCACACAATGACGTTTCTCTCCTTCTCTTTCTTCCTCCCTTCCCTTGTCTCTAAAAGTAAATAAATCTTTAAAAAAAAGTAACAACAATAACCAAAAAGCCAGCTCCTAAAGATACCTCAACCCATCATTATTTTAGACAGTTGAGGTTTTTCACATCTATTTCCTACTTGAGTAAGAAATAATGACTATGCGATATTTAAATACGTAAAATATGCATTTGTGTTTTTTTATATTATTGACACTGTTACAGATGTCCCCCATTTTCTCCCCCTTTGCCCTCTTTCACCCAGCCCCTGCCCCTCCCTAATTTGTGTGTATTTTCTTAAAAGCTGTTATGTCACAAGGGTCTCTTCTCAAAGCAGAAAAACTTTGTAACAACACAACAGAGCACTTGTTAGCAAAATTCTTGACATCTTATTTCTCTGTTGCTCAGTGCCACTCTTACAGAATTTCATACATGGGAGAAAATCCTGAGTGCAGGGTGATCTGAAATGATTGCCTGCTGCTGTTTTTTTGTCCCTGACCCCACTGTTCAAGGTGCTTGATCAGCCTAGTGGGATTCTTTTGGGTCGAAGTTTATGACAGCCAATGACCAAGAATAAAAATTGGGGGCGGAGGGGGTGGTGGTGGAATTAGTGCTGGTTAAGCAAGAATAAACAATTAAAAAAAATTGAAACAGTTGCTAATTTCCTTACATCATTTCAGTGGACAGATTTCCAAGCTATTCAGGCTTTTATTTTTTGACTCTTAGAATTTAAAATTGCAGCATTTTATAATTTAGTATTGAATTTCGATGGCTCCTGGAATATTCATTGCATGAGATGTTTTTCTGCAGCGATAGGAGTAAAGGGTAGTGCTCAGGCCTGGCTTTTATCAATTAAATGTGTTCTAGAAGCTGCCTTGGTTTTGGAAGCGACTTTCCTTAATAACTGGCTTTTTTTTTTTTCCCTAATAGTTGCTGTCAAAGCATTTTATACACTAAGTAAACAGTCAGTTACACCAGAGCCTCTGGTATCCACGTACAGTTTCTATTCCGTTCTACCTTTCCTTTTCATGAAACTTACCTTTTATACCTAGATGCTTTTGCTGCATAGTACTTTGGCCTCTCTTAGTTAAAGTCATAATGTTCATATTTCTCTTTATGGTTTTTGGAAGCTGGAGGGTGAATATCTTTTGACACTTGGTGGAGAGGAGAATAAAATGTGCTTACTTAAAAACATTGTTCTGGTGGATGGGGTTGCTGGAAGAGAATAGGGGAGAAAGCGAGTCATTTAAGTATATCTTGATATTCTGTTTTTTTTCTATTTATTTGTTACTGTTAAAGTAGCCATCTACCCTTACTGTCCTTAGAATTTTGTAACCAATAAGAACAAACAGCATCGTGGATTACACAGCGCACAATTTGGAAGACCTTGTATTAAATTACCTATTGGTAAATAAGAATTCCAGTTGCCAAGCAACTTCTTCCCACAGGGGCCTGCCACTGCCATGAGACTTTAGAAAACAAATGTTCCAAATAATTTCGGACCTTAATGGGTCTCCCTTATGTATGTTTGTTGCAGGTCTCTCATCTGTTTCATGCAATTAAATGCCTTAAATAAGCCTAGGAAATGAAATGATCCACCTCCTTATGCCTCCAAACAATAAACATCTTACATGGAGATGGAGTTGTTCTTTTATATGGTAAATCAGAATAGGAAGGTCCTCGATTAGTTTTACCAGCCTAGGAAATATTTTACAAAATCCAGCATTTTACAACAGTTTGGATAATTTTAAGACCTCATTCTGAGCTAAGGGGTTAGATGCCTAGATGCTATGCTGTTGGGCTAGTGAAAGTGACACAGAAGGGCCAGTGCTTAGATTGGGTACAAAGTAAACAAATAAGATTTAAAGAATAAAATAAAGGGAAACACTGATGATTGATTGATAGGTAGATGGATGGATGGATAAAACAAATAAGTCTTTTGGAATGTATCCAAATTGGCTGGGAGTAAGTTTTTGTAATCTTCTGAAGCATTTAAAGAGATCAATGAGTCCTGGCGGGGTGGCTCACTTGACTGGCGTGTTGTCCGGTACACCGAAAGGTTGTGGGTTCGATCCCTGGTCAGGGCATGTCCCTCTTGTGGGTTCAACCCTCTGACTGGGGCATGTACAGGAGACAACTGATGGAGTTTTTCCATATCGATGTTTCTCTCTTTCTCTCTCTAAAATCAATAAACATATCCCTAGGTGAGGATGAGGAAAAAATTGCAAGAGATCAATGAGTAATTCCTTGTATGGGTTGTGTTAGGTAGGACCTGTCCCAGATCTCCTAAGTTGTTTTTTCAGTCTGTGATTTAATTAATTCATATAATTTATTAAGCTCCCAAATGTAACTAATAGATAATTTATTAGTCTGCTTGGTATTTTTAATATTCTTCAAAGATCCATGTATTTAGCAGTGATGAAAATCTGCTATTAAATGCTCTAAGGCATATTTTATAATGTTTAAATTCCTATTTTTAAATGGAGGAATGGAATCTATAGGTTCTGATTAGTAGCTTTTCATTCTAGACTTATTCTCCTTCCTCTCTGTCTTTCTGTCTCTGTCTGAGAAGTGTTTAGAATCAGAGGATGATTGTTCATCACTGTAGCTGGAAAACCACATTATATATTTAATCATCCTTAAATACTCAATACCTCTCCCTCTTTTCCTCTGATGTGTTACCTAGTCTTTAAAAATTGTCTGTGTAAGATTATCCTTTATTAAAACTAGCAGTAGCTTTAAAATAATAGTTTTATCCATGTTAAGTGTTCATAATTTTTGTTTTCTTTGTGAATTTTATTGTTTTCTTTTTAGGATTTATTTATTTATTTTTTAGAGAGCGGGGGAAAGGAGGGAGAAAGAGGGAGAGAAACATCGATGTGCGAGAGGATCATTGACTGCCTCTCGATGCTCCTAATCCCTTAATGGGGGCCTGGCCCACAACCCCAGCACATGCCCCGACTGGGAGTCAAACCGGCAACCTTTTGGTTCACAGACCGGCGCTCAACCTACTGAGCCACAGCAGCGAGAGCTGTATTGTTTTTCTACAACAGATGCAGACTTGTTACATTTAATGGTTTCTACCTTTTATTTACTCATTCCATAATAGAGTAATGCCTGCTTATTTTAAAAGTTATCAGTGCTCCTTAAATCACATTATATAACATCTTCCCCAACAGTATGCATCCTTTTTTTCTCTGTAATTTTGCAGTGTGTATAAATGTGTATTTATATATTTACATTATACAGTTGTCTTTTTCACGTTATGTGGTCGACATTCTTCATAATATAGATCTACCTCATTTTTTAAGAAATGCTGCTTAATGTTCCATTTTATGGATTTTTATTTAGTCATATCTCTATTGGTAGACATTTAGATTGTCTCAAGTTTTTTTTTATTATGACAAATAATACTGCCAATGAAAGTCCTTGTGCTAGATTTCTAAATAAGTTAAAGGGTTTTGTTCTCCAAAAGTCTGTCCCAGTTAATATTCCCATTAACGTGAAGGTAGTCATTTCCCCACACTTCTGACCCTGATGTGCATATGTGTGTTAATCTTTTCAATTTTGCTGAGTTCTCATAGGCAAAAAAGAGTGTTTTGATTTTTATAATTAATTTAAAGTGGACATATGGCCCCTGTTGCACTTAATTTTTTTGAGAACTTTTGAAAGACATTAGAGATACTAGTACCACTACCTTGGGATGTTGGAGAATAATAGTGCTGCATATTACAAAAGGCAAGGAGGTACTTTCTGGTGGCTTGCTACTGCCTTCTAGTGGTTCATCTGTACATTTTCTTTATCTTAACCAACTTCAAATTACTGTGTGATGGTTTGTCTTCAAAACTTAAGGCTCATTGTGTGGTGCTCTTTAGTACCTTTTCTTACTTCTGTATTTCTTTGTTTTGTTGGCCATCCCGTACATTGATATGTACATATTGTATCAAACTAATTCAGCATTTTTTGTGTTCATTAATGTACCCTTTATTCTGACATTCTTTTTTTTAAATTATTTTTTATTGATTATGCTGTTAGAGCGGTCCTGATTCCCCCCCCTTTGTCCCCTCCCAGTCAGCGCCCCCCACTCCCTCGGGCCATCCCCCCAGCATTGTTCACGTCCACGGGCATTCTGACATTCTTAACTCTGAAAAATCACTTGGCATCCTAGTCAGATAGAGCAATTCAGCATCATTGCGGGGGCTGTGCTGAGTCCAAATTAACAGAAAGAACAATAATTGTAATGTTTTGCCGTCTTAATTTTAGTTTGCGCCTTACATTTGGGTTTTTAGGCATTATATGGTATAAACCTTGTAAATTTAGGGCATTATTTTCCTGTTGCATACACTTGAGAATCAGTTCAGAAACAGGGTTGACTTAGAACAGGCTGAAGATGACTCACTTGCTCCGACCCGCCTCGCCGCCCGGGTCCATTTCAGACATTATTTCAGTGTGTAAGATCGGGCAGTGTTCTCTTCCTCCACGCCGTGCTCCTGTTCATTGCAGTCATGCCGGGGAACAAGTCCCTGTATCCAGTATGCATTTGTTCTGTATTCACAGCTTTGGATAATAAGCATATTGGATCTTTGTTCTTCTAAAGTCCTGACATTCTACTGTCTCTTTTCTTTTTTCTTTCCCTTTTAATTACAACAGTGAAAGGTTTTTCATCATGCCCTGGTCTCCTTGCTAACCTAGCTATTTTTCACATTGCATTTTCTTGTTAATTTATAAACTTCACATTTCAGTTTACTGTATGCATTATCAGTAGCTTGGACATGATTGACAAAGAGTTATATTTATTACCTTTGTATTTTTCATCTCTTATTTTTAAATGGCTCTATTCCCTGTCATTCCTTTAGTTTCAGTTGAACTTTCCTAACGCTTCAACTTTATTTTACTAGGTTCCAGTGCCCTGTTGCTCAGCTAATTCATCTAAGAAATAAACTAGCTTGATCCTGGCTATGGCTAGAGTGGCCTTTTATTAATAAAAATAGGTAGTTCTTCGATCTTGAAATTGGCTTTAACTTGACCTAACACATTCCAACCTGTTTGATATTCACCTAAATAACAAATATTACCAGTTCTTTATATTTTTAAAATATATTTTATTTATTTATTTTTAGACAGAGGGGAAAAGAGGGAGAGAAACATCAATGTGTGGTTGCCTCTTGCGAGGCCCCTGCTGGGGACCTGGCCCGCAACTCAAGTATGTGCCCTGACTGGGAATCGAACCGGTGACCCATTAGTTCACAGGCCAGTGCTCAACCCACTGATCCATACCAGCCAGGTCCAGTTCTTTACATTTTTTAAATGGCTATTATGTTCTATATCAATATGCAGTACCTACCTCATTCTCAACTTTCCACAAAGATGTGACAGTCACATGCAGATATTGTCACTCATCTGACTTTAAAAGTGTCTATTCTACATTTTAAAAATGTCTATTCTACATTTATAAGTGTCTAATTTCCTTTTGAACCATATCCATTCATATAAGAAGTCAAAACTTGTCTACTTCATCACTGTCTAATCTCAGTCTGGGCCAGCTGTTGACCCAGTGTCCAATATGTGCTTAGGCAGAGTGCCATGAATTTTAGGGGATGTACAGAAGAAGTACAAAAGTAAGAATTATGCATAAATATAATAATGAGAGCTAGAAGGAAGAATTTCATGATTTAGTAGGCTATTAGTTTAATGTAAACCAGTTCTGAGTTTAAAAACATAAAGCTTTTAAAATCTAATAGTAATAGAAAGTGCCCGTATCAAGGACTGAACATAACTAATAAAAATTTTTGAAGCATATTAAAAACTACAAGGTGTTCAGTTGTCAGATACTGGCTGTAAAAAAACATTTTTTAGCATCTTTCATTTATTTTTAGCTACCATGGCAACTAAGACAATTATAATCACCCTAATTTTTTTTTTTTATTGTGGTAAAATTGATATGTAACCTTACGTTAGTTTCCGGTGTGCAACATAATAATTTGATCTTTGTATATGTTATCACCACAATGGTCATAGTTACCTTCTGTCACCAAACCATTGACCCCCTTCACTCATCTTGCCCATTTCCCAGCCTCCTTCCCCTCTGATAACCACCCATCTATTCTGTATATGGGAGTTTTGTTTGTTTCGTTTTTTAGAGTATACATATAAGTTCAATAATATGGTACAAGCATACCTTGGAGATATTGTGGGTTCTGTTCCAGATCACTGCAATAAGGTGAATATCTCAGTAGAGCGAGTCACATGAATATTTTGGCTTCCTAGTACATATGAAAGTTACGTTTATACTGTAGTCTATTAAGTGTGCAAGTCTGTAATGAGTCAGAGTCTTTTTGCTGCCGGAGGGCCTTCATGCTGAGGGCTGCTGACTGATCAGGGTGGTGGTTGCCGGAGGCTGGGTGGCTGTGGCAGTTTCTTAAAATAAGACAGCACCGAAGTTTGCCGCATTAGCGACTCTTCCTTTCATGAATGATTTCTCTGTAGCATGAGATGCTCTTTGATAGCATTTCACCCACAGTAGAACCCCTTTCAAAATTAGAGTCTGTCCTCTCAAACCCTGCTGCTGCTTTATCAACTAAGTTCATGTAATATTCTAAATCCTTTGTTGTCATTTTAACAATCTTCACAGCATCTTCAGCAGGTATAGATTTCATCTCAAGAAACCACTGTCTTTGCCCATCCGTTATTAGAAGCAACTCCTCATCCGTTTAAGCTTTATCATGAGATTGCAGTGATTCAGCCACATCTTCAGGCTTTCTCTACTTCTAATTTTAGTTTTCTTGCTGTTTTTACCACATCTGCAGTTACTTCTTCTGCTGAAGTCTTGAACCCCTCAAAAGTCATGCATGAGGGCCGGAATCGACCTCCTCCAAACTCCTGTTAATGCTATTTTTGACCTCTTCCCGTGACTCATGAATGTTCTTAATGGCGTCCAGAATGGTGAATCCTTTCCAGAGGTTTTCAATTTACTTTGCCCACATCCATCAGAGGAGTCATAATTTCTGGCAGCTACAGCCTTACAAAATGTATTTTTAAAATAAGACTTGAAAGTCGAAATTATTTCTTGATCCATGGGCTGCAGAACTTCAAGAAATTTTCCTTTGCGTGCATTCACAACTCGGCTAATTGTTCGGCGTGAGAGGTCTAGCTTTTGGCCTGCCTCGGCTTTCAACATGCCTTCCCCAATAAGCTTGATCATTTCTAGCTTTTGGTTTAAAATGAGAGATAATGTGATTCTTTCTTTCACTTGAACACTTAGAGGCCATTGTAGACTTGTTACTTGGCCTAATTGCAGTATTGTTGTGTCTCGGGGAATAGGGAGGCTGAGGAGACGGGGAGAGTTTTGCGGGGGGCAGGGAGGTGGGGGGTGGAGGCGGGGAGAAGGGCCTGTCAGTGGAGCGGCCAGAGCGCACACAGCACAGGCGGACTAAATTCACTGTTTGACATGGGTGCACTTTGTGGCGCCCCTAAATAATTACAATAGGAACATCAAAGAGGACTGATCAGATACCACCATAATGAATATAATAATTATGAAAAAGTTTGAAATAGTGCAAGAATTACCAAAATGTGATAGAGAGACACGAAGTGAGCAAATGCTGTTGGAAAAATGGTGCTGATAAACTTGCTCCACACAAGTTGCCACAAACCTTCAGTTTCTAAAGAACAGTATCTGTGAAGCACAGTCAAACAAGCTTTATTAGTCTTTCTCTGTCTGACTTCACTCTCAAATCCATCCATTCCTTTTTCTGTCTGTAGCCCTTGCCTAGCTAAGACCACCATCTATTGCCTGGTCTGCTCGGAGGGACAAGGGATGAGTGGGTAGGAGGCGTTTGGAAGAAGACGTATAGGGTCAGGACACGTCTCTGCTGTTGGTGAAATACCCAATGAGCAGCATGTGAAGCTTTGCCTTTTTCCGTAATGGATCCAACTTTATTCAAATTTTTAACTACATGGATTGTCACCTCATAATACGTAACTTTCTTTTACAGCCAAGTACTGTAATAATTTGTGTGAGCTCGTTTTTTCTGGGAGTGGGAGGTGAAGGTGGGTTGGGAAGGTCATGGTTAAGAAAGGAGACTAGAAGATCTATTGTTACTCTGTATTTCTTTCTAATGATGTCCCCACCTCCTCTCTGCAAAGCGTCACTAACTTGACTTTCCAGTTATACAGGGGTGGTCCTGTCCCACTTCCCTCTAAATCATAACAATGATAGCATCTTAATCTATTTGTCTAGCAAGACCCTGAATTCAGCTCTCTAATCTGACCTCTGTTTTTCACGGTATTACGCGATATGCTCTTGTTGGCGTCTTGTGTAATATGAGACAATGCAAAAACTCCAGGTTTTCTGTTTGCATTGGGGTTTCTTAACACATTTTCTAGTGGGAAAAAAAAAAAAAATCCAAATAATCCCATGGGAGTAGGACTTAAACACTGAGAGTAAAAAGTCTGTTTCAGTAGGATTTTCTTCCCTAGATTTAAAATAATAGGTTTGCTTTTTCTCACCAGTTTTTCCAGTTTAAACATCAGCTGTGCTGGGCCATAATGTGTTCGTATGTGGGTTATTTAGTTATTAATGAGATTTTACAGATTCCACTATCTGAAACGCTCATACTTGTTTTTATAGTTATCTGAACCAATTTGTGTGTCTGGCCCCCTGCCCCCTGGAAATAAGCCCCAGGAGAGCTGGAACTGTGTCTATTCTTAGTGCTTAGTGTCAGAAGAAACATTTAACAGTTATTGACTGAGAGAGTGGTGCTTTGGGGCTTGGGTGGTTTTCCTTCTTATAATATTCCCACATTTCTTTCAGCATTGGAGAGAGGGCTCTTGAAAACACTGCAGAAACTGGATGACTATCTGAATTCTCCCCTTCCTGATGAAATTGATGAGAATAGTATGGAGGATATTAAGTTTTCCACACGTAAATTTCTGGATGGCAATGAAATGACATTGGCTGATTGCAACCTGTTGCCCAAATTGCACATCGTCAAGGTAGGTCTGTAGGATGTGGTGTCACATTGCCACCAGACCTAGTCTGCTGTGAACTGAGATAGCACTTCCTTTACGTGTGAGCTTTTCTGATCTTCTGACATAAGACTAGGAACCCCCCAAGCAGTGTAATTTAATGCTATTGAAGCTATAGTTAAAACACCATAGAGCTAATTAGATGGGAAATTGTGTCTTAAAATGGAAGCATATGAGAAAGAGGAATATTATATTTTTCTGTGAGTATATAAAAATTAAAAACTGTAATAGGTCAATCTGAATTGGATTTTGTGGTGCTGACATATCACTAAATTCTGTTCTGTGATCACCTGGCTTTTTCAATTCAAAGCAAAAATACTTACTGAGCATTTATCGCATGAGACACCGATAAATATAGAATAGTAATAAACACTAGTTGTGCAGTAAAGATAAAGAAAAACAGATCTAAAATCGTGTATTGAAGTATTGATATACGTCCATTGATTCCCTTTGGCCTTCTCTGTGGATGATCAGGGCTGGGGTTTGCCGTTAGTGCTGCACTTCAGAATCTGCTGTAGGTTGCAGTCCTTATCATTATCTAAAATGCTAGTTTGAACGAAAGGGACCCCTAACTTCATCCTCCCCTTCTCTGGTGAAATGAATGAGGATGGTACAGAGGACGTTAAGCTCTCTTTCAAGTAGAAGCAGTTCTCAGAGATTCACAGAATCACTTTTTCTTAAAGTCAGAGATACTCTGGTTAACATGAAAAGCAAATATTAACTTTTGATCTTTTTGTATTTCAGGTGGTGGCCAAAAAATATCGCAACTTTGATATTCCAAAACGGATGACCGGCATCTGGAGATACTTAACTAATGCTTATAGTAGGGACGAGTTCACTAATACCTGTCCCAGTGATAAGGAGGTTGAAATAGCATATAGTGACGTAGCCAAAAGACTTACCAAGTAAAAGAGCACTTAGAGAGAGATGTCTTCACATCTTTTCCTGATTACGAATATGCTTTTTCTAACAGGCTGATTCTTGTCCTATAAAGTAGACATTTTATTTTGCATGACAATGGCAGTTACTCAAGGTTAGGATAAAGGATAGATAAGGTGTAGTAGCTCTCTTTAAACATGCACTCCTAAGCAGTATTATTTTAAATTTTTTTACCCTGCCTACCTCCCCTACCCCATATCCTCCACTCTTCTAATTCGGAGACACTTCGCAAACTTTCTCCTTCAGAGGCGGTTTGCCATCTCTCTAGAGCCCTCGCCTCCATTCACTGTGTACAGGTGGCAGGGCTGCTGAGGTGCGGGGTTCAACTGTTGACATAGTAACCACGACCTCATCGGTCAGCCCCAAACTGGTGCATAATGCGTGGTACAAGGAATATTTATGTATTTTTGGAGTTGTATAGTATTTAGTAAGAGTATATGAAAGGATTGCTACTGTATCAAAATACTGTACCCTGTTTCAGTTTAGTCTATCCTGGATATGTACTAAAAGCTGTACCACCAGGCAAGAGGGCCTTCTACCGATGTCACTACAGATTTTGCTCTTTCACTTTGTACGTGGGCTTTTACTTTTCCAAAAGCACCTATCCATTATACCAGTTATAACATCTGACACTGTGTAGAAGCTAAAAGTTTAGAGGGAGGGATAATATTCTCAGTCCTTCTCGAGAATTTTATCCATGTAAGATAAACCGATGGGCATATTCTGTCTGAATGTGGTGTTTGCTATATGTAATTTTGCCCAGTGCCATTAATTTGGAACATTATTGCTTTCTTCCTTTATTTTAAAAGGCTCCTTTTTAGGTAAACGTAGACCTTGCTGTTTGTCGATCTTTTGAGCAACACTACGTATACTGATGTTTAGTTGATTTAGCTATAGCAGTACAATGATTATTAGCAAAGTAAAAATTAACACGGAAATTAACCTAATGAAGGTAGGATGGGTTTGTCAAACTATCAAGTAGAATTTTGTTTCGAAAGCATACTTAATGTGGGTAATCTAAAGACGGCATTTTCCACCCTATATTAAAAATAAGATAAAACATACAGATTAGCAGCTTTTCCATTCCGCCCCCATTTACTGTTAGGCTCTGGGTAGAGGATGACTCCCTCCTTTTGGACTAAATTATAATTGTTACATGAGTACATATTTACTGCAGTTTTGCCTAATGTCAGTCATTGTGTTTCCTTCAATTAAATTTCTCTGCAGCCACACTGAGGAATAGCACCCTGCATGTTTGTTTTTTAAATTGAATTCCTAAACCAGGAATTATTTGTGCTCTAATAAGGGAGAATGAACTTGGTGAAAATAAAACAGAAGCTTGCTGTGTATTTGTTCATTTTTAAAATAAAATTAGACTTTCTAAGTATTGCTCCAAAGGTGGAGCAATAAATAAATTTTTGGTAATTTTTTTATACCTAACTTGCTTAAGAAGTGCTGTTTCTCATAGGTGGTTTTTGGAAATTTTAAGTATATTGTTTTCAACTGGGAATGATTCCCTCCCTTTGGTATGCTAACATTCAGTAAGCACTGATGTTATGGAAGCAGCCTGATTTTTCAAAGCATACTGCATTTTTTAACCTATCAGTGATTAGCTTAGTAGAAAAAGATAAGAAAAGCTCCATATTGTACCCGTTTGGCTCAGGGAGATTTGCTTTACCTTTCTTAAAACTCCTTATTGCTGATCAAAAGTTTGGGCACCCACCTTTTTGCAATTAAATATTGGCTGCTGATTTATCTGTTTCCAGGAAGTAGCGCTATCAGGTTATCTACTGAGATTCTATAGCAGTTGCTTCAGTGGGTGAAAAACGTCGCATCTGCACCAGTACACAGCCAAGGCAATCATCACTTTTCATCTATTTTTAAATAGTGGTGACTTGGCATTCAGGTGAGACTGAATCTTGCCTTGTAGCTTCAAGCGTGAAGAAGATTCAGAAGAAGGGGTGTCTGTCCTTTCCAGGGAATGGTGAACTAGGCGGTGCAGAGCAGACGGCTAAGGAACAAGGAGCCGCGTTCCTCAGAGTGATGAGAAACACATTCTGAAACTCAGTTGTCAAGTATTTTTACCTTGGACATTTATTCTCTCTCTCTTTTTTAAAATAATGTGTCCCCTGACTCTCTTGCCTTCTCAGTGTCCAAGGAAGTTAGGTCAATTAGGATTTGATGAAGGCAAAATTATTTCTCTGTATAGAAGGACCTTATTGCTTTATCAGGGAAGTTAGATGAAACTGAGATTGGCAAGTGGACAGAACCCAGAAAACAGGATGCCCCCAGCAAATGCTTTTTTAACCCATCTTATATTTGTAGAAAGTTCATAGCTTAAATCTTAGGAGATTTGGGAATAAAAGTCACCATGTAGTGTGTGGATTGATAATGGAAATCATCTGATATTATTTCTGCAACTACTCCATCATTTACCCCTTCATTGAAACCAACGAGGAGCTCCTGAATGGAAGTGCCTGCTATTTCCCAAGGGATTCTGCTAAGTTTTGTGTTCAACCGTTGGAAAGCTCCCTGCTGTTTCAGTTGGTGACTTCTTTAAAAAAAAAAAAAAAAAGGAAATGCAGGTTTTTGTATACAGTTTTGTTCTCTTTTACTAGAATTGTTGACGTGATAAAATTCATGTAAGATTTTATTTCTTGGTAACTTTGGCTTACACAACATACCTGTAAACCCTTGAGCAATCTGTATACAAGTAAGAGATTTCTGACATTTATTCTTACACTAAATTGATTAGCTCTAGAATTTAGGCAGTGTTACTTCTGTTGAGTTTTGAATCTCCAGGGTTGCATGTAGATAGCTTTTGTTTCTGTGCATTTAAAATATCCATTTAGAAAATATAAGGTAAAAATGATAAGAAACGAACGTATTTTTTCATGAACATTTTGTACACATTTCATCAAGTTATTATCAACCAATTTCCTACACTGGTTATAACTGTATTTGATTCAAAGAGAGGGAAGCATTCATTATTGATATACTATATGGGCTTTTTTATTCCATTCTTTACAAATTACCAAGGTTGAGGGCTGTCAAAATTATATTTTTATCATGGAAAAAAATTTCAACTCCCTAAGTCATAATGTTGAACAGAATTGGAGTATTTTCTTTAGAATTACTTGAAAAGGCAAATGAAAGCTTATTATAGAATGCTTGTATTTTTCTTTTGTCTCTCTGGAACCAGTATATTGCTGGCAGCTATTGTATTAAAATAAAGTATATTTTCACTATCATAAAAAGTTCTTTTTTCTCCCTCCTCTTGAAAATAAATAACAACTTGGGGTAAAAGTGTTGTATTTGAGATTTTTTCCATGAGTGGGTGATTCAGCACAATACATTAAAGGAGAAAAACTAAATCATCTCAATAGGTACATAAAATAATTTCACAAAAACTTTCATGATATTCATTCTTAGCAAAATAGGACCAGAGATAAAATTTTTTTTAACCTGATAAAGGCATCTGCCAAGAACCTACAGCAAATTTCATATATAAATATGAAACAGAAGCCCGCTTATGAAAGTCAGGAATAAGACAGGATTGCCCTCTGTTACAGCTATTATCCAGCTACTTTAATAGAGGCGCCCTACCTCCTGCAATAAAATCTCTGCAAAGAATGGACCAAATGATTGTTTTTTGCAGATGAATGCATATACATAAAAGAAGTCTAAACTTACTATGAGAAACAATAAGAAAATGCAGCCAGATTACTAGATACAAGAACGAGGAACAGAAACCAATATAACCACTATATATTAATATTTACCATATCAAAATTAAGAGATAAAGTGGTAACATTGGTTTCTTCTGGGTTTTAAAATTTGTAACATATATTACCCTAAAAATATAGAATGTGCTTTAAAAGATAAGATATTTAGGATCAAATGTAATAAAAAATGTACAATTCCTTTAGGAAGGCAACTACATAATAAAGGACCTGATACAATCTCTTCAATGGATAAGTATATCATGTTCATGGGTGGATAACTTAAAAAGCGTAAGAATTTCAGTTCGGTCTCAAGTAATTTATAAATTGAATATATTTTCCCACAAAATCTCAACAGGTTTTTTTTTTCCCCCTGGAAAACTAGATAAATGAATTTTAAAACTTCATATGGGAGAACTGTGTCACCAAGGGGGGAGGGAAAGGAAACTTGCCTGAAGATAGAAAGACTTAACAGCTTACAGTCGGTAATGGGTAGGAAATAGCAGGACATGGCAACACAACATGCCTGCTGCAACTACCAGGAAAAAAATAGAAACATCAGAAAACTGGGAGGCAATAAAGACAATGAACTGAAATTTCAGAGGAGGCAGCCTTTCTGAGGCAGACCGATGATCTGGCCATTTTCTCCTGGGGGGCATTTGCTGATTCTGGGCCTGGAACTGAGGTTTGGGTTCGGTCTGTGCAGAGGGGCTCAGCGGAGAAAAGTCACGAGGCCCTTGGTTAGGGGGCACACTGGAAACCTGAGACACCCTGAATGCATGACTGGTTTCTCCCAGGACACTTCCTGAACTCCAGGACTACATGGCATGCTAAAAGCTAAGCGAAGGGCTTCCGGAAGGCAGCGTGAAATCTCCCACAATCTCACAATATTTAGGAGACAAAATTTAATTAGAGGGAGGGACCTTCCCAAAACACAGCAACTGTGTGGTTTCTGGCAATGAGGGTGACTGGGAATTGACTGCAAACAGGCATGAGGTTCTTTTGGGGATGATGGAACTGTTCTAAATACAGATTATAGAAAAGGGTCTAGCATCCAGTTATATAAAGAATTCTTACAACTCAAAAACAAAAAGACACTCCAATTAAAAAATGAGCAAAGAATTTGAATAGACATTTCTCCAAAGATAAATGGCTAATAAAAACAAAAGCTTACCATTACTTATCGGTCCTCAGGGAACTGTAAATCTAAACCACAAACAACATCCTCTAGGATGGCTGTGATCAAGAAGATGGACAATTCTAAGTGTTGGCAATGACATGGAGAAATTAGAACTTGCACACTGCTGGTGGCAGGATTAGTGTTGCTGATTTGAAAGACTGGCAGTTCCTCAAAAGGTTAAACATACCTAACAATTCCTAGGTTTATGACCAGGAGAATTAAAAACTTAGGTTCATACATCTTGTATACCATACACTCATGGCATCGTTACAATAGTCAAAAAATGGAAACAACTCAAGCATTCATTAACTGATGAATGGATAAACAACATTATATATCCAAAAAAAGAACACTGCCGTGGCTGGTGTAGCTCAGTGGATTGAACCAAAAGGTCTCTGGACTGATTCCCCGTCAGGGCACACGCCTGGGTTGGGGGCTGGGTCCACAGCTGGGGGTATGCGAGAGGCAACCGATCATCTCTCACACATCGATGTTTCTCTCCCTCTCTTTTTCCCTCCCTTACCGTCTCTCTAAAAATAAATAAAATCTTTTAAAAAAATAAATTAATGGAATACTATTCAGCCATGAAAAGTAATTAACAAGTTACCACATGAATGGACCTTGAGGACATCACGCTCAGTGAAGGAAACCAGACACAAAAGGCCACGTAGCGTATGATTCCAATGATGTGAAATGTCCAGAATAGGCAAGTGTATCAGGACAGGCAGCAAACTGACGGTTATCAGGAGCTGGGGGAGGAGAGAATGCAGAGTGACTGCTAGTGAAGACGGGGTTTCTTTTTGGAGTGACGAATATGTTCTGGAACTAAGTAATAGTGATGATTACACAACTCTGTGAATATACTGTAAACCACTGTCTTGTACTGTTTGAAAGACTGAACTTAATGGTATATATCTCAAAAAAAAAAAAAATGCAAGGGGGCAATTCTGCCTCGCTGAAGTGCTGGATAATCAGTGTCTTGACAGGTTGAGTGGCAAAGTTAGTTATGTGTGTGAGTTAAAGTCCAAATTAAATGTCATCCAAAATATATTCTTAAAAGGGGAAAAGCAAAAATAAGAATCGTGCAAATGCTTGCTCAACTCTAAATTTACTAAAAATCATTTAGTTTGCCTAAAATGGGTGAACTCTCCACAGTTTGTAAATTATACCTCAATAAAGCTTTCTTTTTAGAAAGAGCTTAAAAGCACACATCTGAAATTAAGAATTCATTGTATGGCTTTAAAAGAAGGGGGCATTAGCAGAAGACAGGATTAGTGCTTGAAGACAGGTCCGTTGAAAAAAATCCAAACTGAAGCAAAGATAGTAAAAAGATTGCACAAATAAAACAATAACAACAAATACTACAAGAAAAGAGCGTAAGAGACATGTGGAACGCAGTCTCGACATGTGTGTAATTGAAGTCCCAGGCAGAAAAGAATTGGGGCAGAAGCGATATTTGATGAAATAATGGCTGAGAATTTTCCAGAACTGTTGACAGCTATCAACCCACACATTCATAAAACTCAGCAAACTCCATATGGAATAAAAACAAAGAGACCAAACCTAAGATTACAATAGTCAAATTGCTGAAAACCAGAGAAAATTCTAAAGACAGCCAGAGAGGAAGGACACGTAACTTTCTAAGGAGTAACAATAAAACCAATGCGTGGCTTTTCAACAGAAACTTTGGAAGCAGCAAGACAGGAATCTTCAAAGTGATGAAAATAAGTCTGCTAGCCTAGGATTCCATACTTCAGTGAAAATATTCTCAAAAGTGAAGGCAAAATAAAGGCATTTTCAGACAGACAAAAGCTGTAAGGATTTGGCACCAGCAGGCCTCTGCTACAAAGATACTAAAGTAAGTATTTCAACTAAAGGAAAATGGCCCCAGGTGGAAGTATAGAACTGGAAGGAAGAATGAAGAGCATTGTAAAGGGTAAATATGTATGTAGGCACATACGAAAGAATATTGACTTTTAACAACAATAATGACATACTCTGTTATACAATATATAATGTGAAATATAACAGTGGTAGAAGGATGGAAGGAAGGGAAATGAAGTACTGTTATTATCCTTATGTTATTTGGCAAGCAGAAGTACTAATTTAAGAAAACTATAGTAATAAATCATACATAAATTGTATAATTCTAAGATAACTACTAAGATAATTACAAAAATAAGTTTAAAAATCTAAGATTCAAGGGAAAATGGAATTTAAAAAAATATGTAATGACTCCAAAAGAAAGGGCAAGAGGACTAGATGAGTGAAGGATAGAACAAGTTGGAAAAGTAGTAAAAGGTCCTTTATAAACCCTATACCATTAGTAATTATATAAATGTAAGTGCACTAAAAAATGCAATGACAAATCAGAGTGTCAAGTTGGATTTTAAAAAAGCTAAACCCAACATATGACATTCATAAGAAACAGACTTTATAAAGACACAGAAAGATTGAAATTAAAGGATGGAATAGTCCACCCTTTGACAGTAAACAAAAGAAAGCAGATGTAACCATTTATCACACAAAACAGGCTTTGAGGCAAAAAGTATTACTTAAGATGAAGAAGGACGTGTACATTTATAAAGTCCTTTTTTAAAAAAAAGATTTTTAAAATTTACTTTTAGAGAGGGGAAAGAAGGAAGAAAGAGAGGGAGAGAAACATCAATGTGTGCTTGCCTTTTGCACACCCCCTCCTGGGGCCTGCAACCCAGGCATGTGCCCTAGACTGGGAATCAAACCAGTGACCTTTTGGTTTGCAGGCCTGCACTCAACCCACTGAACCACACCAGTTGGGGCTACAATGTCCTTTTATAATGAAAGTTTTATTCACTAGGAAGATAATAGCTCTAAATTTACATATATCTAGTAACAGAGCCTTGAATACAAATAGCAGAAGTTAAGCTAAAGGAGAATTAGACAAATAAATTATCACAACTGGAGATCTTAACACAGCTCCCTCCATAACTGCTCCAACAGGCATGACCCCCTCCCTTCCACACACACACCCAGTAAGGAAGAGCAGATTTGAATAACACAGTTAACCAATTTGACTTAATTGACATTGGAACACTATATCCAACAACTGCAGAACACACATACTTTTTTTCAAGTGCCATGGAAGTTTTAGCAAGCAGACCGACCATATGCTGGCCCATAAAGCAAGCATCAACAAAGTTCAAAGGGATGAAATCATACCAAGTATTGGGTTGGCAAAAAAAAAAAATCCTTTTAGGTTTTTTTTTGGTAAAATAAAAGACACATTTTTCATTTTCACTAATAACTTTATTGATTTGGATATTTTGAGTATGTCAGCTCTCTCCCACTAGTGGCTTCTAATGGGTAGAGGCCAGGG